CAGCCAGTTTTCTACATGGGTCATGCTGGCTCCATTGGGGTGGCGACTGTTGCCAACCACCACTTGAGAGCTTCAGACTATCTGTGGCTTCCCTAGCTACCTCCAGCCCACACTGCCACCATGGCAGAGGGAGGGCCGTCTTCTGCAGGCCCTCTGCTAGTCTTCAGGTGAGGCCTTTTTCTTGTTTTGATCTTCCATCTGCTGGTTCACTCTCCAGATGGCCATAACAGCCAGAGCTGAGCTGATAAGCAGCTTGCAGTTTCTTCTTGGTTTTCCATGCAACTGTAGGGTCCCAAGGACTTGGGCCATCCTGTCCCAGGGAGGGAGCTGGATCAGCCAGGACTTGAAGTGGGGCCCTGGTGCTGCATGCCACAGACCCTTTTATGGAGATCTTGAGCCAGGGTACCTTGAAGCCCAAAGGCATCCAGAGAACATCCTGTGGTGTGTGGTCTGTAAACTTGGGTGGGAAGAAACCTACATCTTTATTTTCATTGGCTGCAGACTCAGCAGAATGTCCCTTGCCCACCAGGGATCTGCCGGCACCAGCGGCCACAGGCAGCACTCCCAGGTGACCCTCTGGGATGTCTGTTGTAGGAGATATGATCCCACAAGCATCTGCCGATGCACAGGCAGTCCAGTCTTACACGATTCACTAAACCCACAAAACCTGTGCGTTCATCCACCTCTGCGCCCAGCACAACGGCCCATGCATGTCTCATGCCTGAAAGCATGTCATTGCCCTCTTATTCCAGGAACACCAGAAAGCCCCTTGGTACTGTGCCCAGAGGCCGTGTTACACAAAAGGAGCCAACGATGTGGGGCAAAGCAGTAGAGGATGGTCAAATCTTTTGGACCCTGCATCCATATGGCAGACCCAGGGCAGGTTGCTGGTTCCTGGCTTTGGACTGGCTCAGTTCTGGCCATTGTGGCCTTTTGGGCAGTGAACCAATAAATTGAATATGTGTCTCTCTTCTCTAAACACCACCCCCCCCACCCAAAAAAGTGGTAGTAGTGCAAAAACGTGGCATGAGGTAGACTGCAAAAGGAACTTTTCCATAAAGAGAAGAGCGAGCTGGGAGACGGGACAGGAGCCACTCTGGGAACTGCAGTTGGCCTAAGCTGGGCTGCACCATCATAGGATCAACCTCTCTGCTGTTCTTTGTGCCCACAAGTCAACACAAAAGTACTAGAGTATCCACTTTAAATTCACTCTTAAAAGACAAACTTGCAACTATAAGCTCCATGAATAGAACTGACACAAGACAGGCCTTGTGGTATAGCAAACTAAGCCACTGCCTGCAGAGTTGCCATCCCATGGAGCCAGTTTGAGTCCCAGCTGCTTCATTTCCCATCCTGCTGCCTGCTTATAGCCTAGGAAGACAGGAAAACATATTAAGTCTTTGGGCGTTGCACCCATCTGGGAGACCCAGAGGTTCCTGGCCTTGGCCTGGCTCAGTCTCAGATACAAGTCATTTGGGGAGCGAAATAGAAAGTGGAAAGATCTCAGAAAAAAGGAAACAAAGGGGCCCAATGGCATGGCCTAGTGGCTAAAGTCCTTACCTTGAACACTCCAGGATCCCATATGGGCACCAGTTGTAATCCCACCGCTCCACTAAAGCAGTCAAGGACAGCCCAAAGCCTTGGGACCCTGCACCTGTGTGGGAGACCAGGAGGAAGTTCCTGGATCCTGGCTTTGGACTGGCAGCATTGGCCATTGTGGTCACTTGGGGAGTGAATCATCAGATGGAAGATCTTCCTCTCTGTATCTGACTTTCCAATAAAATGAATAAATCTTTAAAAAAAATAAATAAAAGATACCCCTCACCTCCTTTACCTTCATCTAACTAAATAAATTAAATCTAGGGCCTGGTGCAATGGTCTAGCAGTCCTCACCTTGCATGTGCCAGGATCCCACATGGGTGGGTATGGGTTCTAATCCCTGTGGCCCTGCTTCCCATCCAGCTCCCTGCTTGTGGCCTGGGAAAGCAGTTGAGGACGGCCCAAAGCCTTGGGGCCCTAGACCTGCGTGGAAGCAGCTCCTGGCTTGACTGGCTCAGCTCCAACTGTTGTGGCCAATTGGGGGATGAATCATCGGACACAAGACCTTCCTCTCTGTATACCTGACTTTGCAATAAAAAAACTAATCGGATGCATAAGACTATCAAATCCAGATGTGAAGATATAATATAGCATTAATTTCTATTTCCAGATCAAAGATGGACTCCCAATGAATCCAATGACTGTTAATTGTATCTTGACAATAAAATGCTGGGCTGTCATTGTTCATGCCCACAATGATGGACACGACTATTTATGAAGTGTGCTATAATAATATAGGGGAACTCGGTAGGGGCCAAGGGAAATTCTAAGGCTTATGCAACTGTATTATAAAAACTTGCATTAAGCCAGGAACAGTACTCTAGTGCCTAAGTCCTCACCTTGAATGTGCTGGGATGCCATATGGGTGAGGATTCATGTCCAGTTGGTTCACTTCCCATCTAGCTTGGGGCCCAGATTTAGACAAGGAAAGCCAGAGGTATCTTCCATCCAGTGGCTCACTCTCCAAGAACTGAAGCCAGAAGCTTCTTCCCACGGCTTTGAGCCATCCTCAACTTGCTCTCCCAGGCTGCAAGTGGGTTACAAGATGGAATTAAAGCAGCCAGAACACAAACCAGCATCCAGAAAGGCTCCTGGCACTTCTAACATTGAGGACTTAACCAACCACTGAGCCATCATCCAGGGCCTGGCAGCCTGGCACATTGCCTAGCAGGCAGCAGCTAAACCCAGAGGCGAGGCTCTTGGCCTGAGCCTAGTTGCGTCCTCCGTGGCTGTTGTGGCAATCTTTGGGAAGACTCACAAGGATCTCACTGAGGTTGGTTCTGGGGAGCCCCACACAGGACTCCCTGCTTCTTGCAGGTCCAGTCTGCTGGGATCCCAAGTCTCCAGTCACTTGGGCTCAATCACACGTTACTGCAGGTGCTTTGGGCTGGTACGTTAGCCACTGGGTCACATGAATGCACCTTGGCCAGAGTTCCTCTCTATTGACTGGTAAGGTCTTCACCATCACCCCGCTTATGCAGCCATCCATGAAGTCTGCAGAGGCAGCAGGCTGAGAAATCAAGCCAGCAGGGGTGACTGAGCAGGAGAACAAACAGGACAGGGACACCTCTCCAGGTGGCTGTCACTATTTCCCACGCGCAGGAGTCAGATTCAAAGTGCTCGCTTGTCTGCAGTCAGAAGCCTTGCGCTGCCCTCCAAGCCCTGTTCAGATCTCTCTCTTTCTGGGTTTACTGCTGCCACCTGCTGGGACAATGTTGAAAGTGGGCACCACCATTTGCCAGAAGTGAAATCACTCCTAAAATGGCTGCACAGCCCCTGCCTAAGCTACCACACCAGCAACAGGGCAGGAGAATGAGCCTAGGAATTACCATTCTCCCACCCACAGGAGATAGCACACTTGGGCAGCAGGCACAGCTGGGCCACCACTTCCTTCCTCTCAGGGAAGGCAACCAGGCAGCTCGGAGCCTTCCTTTAGAGAACCAGTGTATGCTGGGAAGCCATTATCCCACTAACCAACCAGTGCAGTGACTGAAAGCATTTCCAGGAGCCGCATAGCACCCCAGCTTTCAGGCCTGATGGTTACAACTAGCAGTTTATACATGAAAGTGCCTTATCCCCATAGCTGAACACACACAACCAAAAAGGAAAATAAAACAGCTCTTGTGTTCTTTTAGCTGCCAAGATTCCTTTGGGCAGTTGCAGGAGTCCAACTGCAAGCCGACGCCTTGACCAGGTGTGCTGTGGCTGTGGCTGAGCTGAGGAAAGGCAGACTGCTTTATCGAGCCAACAGCACTGTGCCCAGGGCAAACAGAGCCGTCAGCCCACAGGGTTACCGCCACAAGCAGACGATGCCAGAGGGGCCTTCCAACAAGTCCCCATGGCACCTCCCTGGCCACACCTCACCCCAGCCGTGCCACCTGACCACAGCCCTGGACTCTGCAGTCATCAGGTGGAGCAGAGTGACACGGCTGGCTCTGCTGGGTCTTCAGTGCTACTTGATGAGGGACGCTCTTCTGAAGTGCAAACCTGCGGCCAGAGTTTAGGACTTTTAATCGGTCCTAAAGTCACTGAAGCAAAAATCATAAAACATTTTGTTTTCCTTTACAAGCCCCCAACAGAAAACAAAACTATTTGTAGGAAAAAAAAGTTTTGTACATGGGATGAAACAATATAAATTCAAAACTTACAGATACAGGTTAGCACTATCACTCAGCTCTTTTAAAAAGTTGATATGAACATCCAGTCAGAACCGACAGGGTATTGCCCTTGAAATGTTATCTATGTGCATTTGCAAGTAGACCATAGGCCTGCACAGGATCTCGGAATGTCCGCAGAAGGCTCTGCCACAGATCGGGTCAGAGTACAAACCCAGAGTCCTTTCTTTCAGATGCACGAGGGAGACGGGGAATGGACTACTCAAACTTTGTCTTCTTCCCTTGTGGCTTGTGGTCCCCACCGCCTCCTCTGCCGCCTCGGAAGCCTCCTCGCCCTGCAGAAGAAAGCAGGATATTCCAATGAACCCAGGGGGTCCAGTACCCTCAGAGCCCAAGTCACCCATTGCAGCACAAGGCAGCACCTCAGCCTTACCTCCAAAGCCGCCCCTGCCTCGGCCTCCAAATCCGCCGCGGCCGCCTCTGCCTCCACCTCGGCCTCCAAAGCCGCCTCTGCCGCCCCCGCGACCCCCGAAGCCGCCTTCGCCCTTAGGCTTGGCCCAGTCCAAGATCACTTTGTTCCCATCAATCTCCCCATCTTCCATCGCCTCCTTGGCGGCTTTAGCATCTTCCTCACTGTTGAAGTCTACAAAGCCAAACCTGAAATCCCAAAGAAAATAGCATAGTAAGTGCCACGTTAGCCTCCACAGCCGTGACGCCCCTGCCAGCAGCCTCAGGTATCAGCCAAGCCCCAAGCCACAGCTCCCTACCCAAGTGCTGAGGACGCCCAAGTGTCTCACAAAACAGCAAACATGTCTCTGCACGAAGACAGAGGTAAAATAATGCTAGTTCTGTGAATTTTCTGTCCTTCCCTTGCGAATCCATAAGCTGCCACGAATTGACAGACAGGAGCTCAACGAGAAGGTTCCTGGCAGCCCAGCCCTGCCCTCTACACTTACCCTTTCGAGGACCCGGTCTCCCGGTCAGTTACTATCCTCGCTCGAATAGAGCCATCGAACGATTCCTTTAGCGTCTCCTCTGTGGTCTCCTCAGACAGACCTTTGACAAACAAGGTCTTGGTTGGCTCTGTGGAAGAGAAAGTCAGCTTGTGACACACAGCACCTCACCCAAGGGGAAGTGCTGTTTAGTGGCCTCAACTCCACTTGTGCCCAGGAGCTATCCTCAGCCCCGCCGCACGGCCCAGATGCTGCCGCCTTCAAGGAGCCCAATGTGCTGCCCTGCATAACACAGCTGGATCAGAACTTGACTATCTAGAGGAATTTTCTTGAGATTTCCTCATCTTTTCTCAGAGCATCAGTCATCACATCCAGCTGTCATGCTCAGGAGCAGAGGCAGAACAGCTCCCAGCACACCTGCTTTGGCACTTACGGTTTCTGGCGTTGGTCGATCCCCGAGGTGCTTGTAACTCCAGCCTGATGGCCCGGCCCTCAATCTCCCTTTTATTACAGGAATTTAAAGCTTCTTTAGCATCTTCAAATGAAGCAAATTCTATAAAAGCATACCTGGGAATGAACAGCAGAGAATGAATCACCATGTGGACCAGGCCACAGGCGCAGGAAAGGCCCCTTCTTACAGCAAAACAATCGTACCTTTCAGAACTGTTGACAATTGTCCAGCCCACAGCTGACCCCACAAAGATACTCACCCTTTAGGTTTGCCATTTTGGTTCTGTGGCACCTTGATGAACGTGGCCTTCTCGAAGACCTCCTGCAAAGTCTCTTCTGTGGCACTGTAGGAGAGATTGCTCAACACCAGAGTTTTTGATTCACCTGGAAACAGAGATGCCACACAAACACTGAGGCACTAGCTCCTGCCCGGTCACCGTGTACTCACACACACCTATTAATAGCACCACTCTGATCATTTATGTCTAAGTAACTAATTTACATACAAAATTTGAGCATGGGCCCGGCGGCATAGCCTAGTGCCTAAAGTCCTCGCCTTGAACACGCCGGGATCCCATATGTGCTCCGGTTCTAATCCTGGCAGCTCTACTTCCCATCCACTCTCTGCTTGTGACCTGGGAAAGCAGTCAAGGATGGCCCAAAGCCTTGGGACCCTGCACCCATGTGGGATACCCGGAAGAAGTTCCTGGATCCTGGCTTCGGATCGATGTAGCATTGGCCATTGCACTCATTTGGGGAGTGAATCATCGAATGGAAGATCTTCCTCTCTATCTCTCCTCCCGTCTGTATATCTGACTTCGTAATAAAAATAAATAAATCTTAAAAAAAAACTAAGCATGCAAAAAGCTTCCCCTATCCTAGACCCCCTTCAACCAGCCCATACACCCTTACCACTCCAAGTGCTGTTCTTGCCCCCTCTGTGGTCCTGATTTTGACCTTTCTCTCCAGTGTAGCACAGGGAAACAGATCGCCCGTCAATCTCTGTGCCCTGCTTTTCTTCAAAGGTTTTCTCTGCATCTGCTTCTGTTTTAAATTCAATATAAGCAATCCTGCCACAAAGAGGAAAAAGCTTACACTCTGAACATTCCATCAGTGTACAGCCACAGTACCCGAGCATGCCAGCTCTTGGCAAGCACTGCTTTTGTTCATTTGAATGTATAAGTTCATCCTCTAAACATTACCTTGCGAATTAACAATGTCATTCCACGTACAAATTGGGAAATACAATCACAGGCTTAAGTTAAGCTACCAGGGATCACACATGTACAGAGTAAAGCATGAATGTTGACCAAAACACTCCTTATAAACTTACCCTTTGCTCTTCCCATCTTTGCTGACTAATCTGATTTCCACAGCATCTTCAAACACTTCCTTTAATTCTTCCTGAGTGACTTTGTAAGGGAGGTTTTTGGCTAGAAGTGTTCTTGCGTCTCGATCTAAATATAAAAACCAATAACCTTATAATCTTAAGAAGCAACAAGGAAAACCTGGCCACATGTGCACACCCACACCCAGTTCCTGCCAACAAAGTGAATCCTATGGTTCTTCAGACTGTCCAAGTAAATGCTGGATATTTACAGAAAAGCCCCATCTGTTAAACACGCACACAGTATCCAAATAAACAGTTCAAAGCAGAACAACTATACGGGCTGAATTCTGTTTTGGAATACCCAGGTGCAAGCTGGCTCCAGCCTCCTGGTATAGTATCCAGCAAGCAATGGGGCAGTGGTTAGGTCCCTGCTACCTAACACCAGACCTGAGGCTACAGCCATCACTGGCAGACATCCGATCTAGGGAAATGGGCAATATGGACAGATGAGCTGGGCCTTATCCCCAACTCCGACAACGAAACCCTGCAGGTCAGGGGGCACTTCTGATCCAAAGCATTCTTGGTGGAAAGTGCTAGCTCTTCCCTAGTGAAAGTTTTAGCCTGCGGTAGTAAGCAACATCAGGTCAATACATTTACACGAGCTAATTCTTTAAATCAGGAACCACGAGGTGGTCCACAATCATCCTGGCAGTCGACACAGCCATCATCGCCTCACTGCCATACCTACCCTTCTTGCTGTCTTTTCCTTTTGGTTTCTCCAGTTTAATTTCATTCCCAAAGACTTTCAAACCAGTGAGTTCCAAGGCTCTTTCTAGGTCTTCAGCAGATTCAAAATCCACATAGCCAAACTTCCTTTACGGGAAGGAGGAAAATTCATAGGTGGGAAAAGGGCCATAGAACATCCTCTAGGGACAAGCAGTGATTAAACACTCCACAAAGAATTACAGGACAAGATTTAATCACCAAGACGCAACATGCAAATTCGTAGCCAACATGCAGACAGGCTAAATTCTTAACACTTCAGAGTTGCACACCTGTGTGTAAGAACCATGACAAGAGTACCCAGTCTAGAGCCCGGCAGCACGGCCTAGCGGCTAAAGTCCTCTCCTTGAACACGCCGGGATCCCATATGGGCGCCGGTTCTAAACCCAGCACCTCTAATTCCCATCCAGCTCCCTGCTTGTGGCCTGGGAAAGCAGTCGAGGACAGCCCAAAGCTTTGGATCCCTGCACCAGCGTGGGAGACCTAGAAGAGGTTCCTGGTTCCTGGCTCTGGATCGGAACAGCATCGGCCGTTGCGCTCACATGGGGAGTGAATCATCGGACGGAAGATCTTCCTCTCTGTCTCTCCTCCTCTCTGTATATCTGACTTTCCAATAAATAAATGAATTTTAAAAAAAGACAAAAGAGTACCAGTCTAGCAAAAAGTACCTGCACAGGTGACAGAAACAGTACTTCTGGCCTGGCATGAAGGCCCAAGAGCACATTAATCTCACATACATAATGCATGCCATCCCCCACTGCAGTGCCAATCACAGCCCTGTCTGCTCCATTTAGAATCCAGCTCCCTGCTAACTAGCCTGGAAGCCTATGTACCCACAGATGAAATGCCAGGCTCTTGGCTTCTGTCTGCCCAGTCCCATGTGATCCGTGAAGAGAACCATGTCCCACTGACACTGTAAAATAAACCTGCAGAGCCTGGCACGATGGTCCAGTGGCTAAATCCTCATGTTGCAAGCCCAGGATTCCACAGGGATGTCAGTTTGTATCCCGGATGCTTCGCTTCCCATCCAGCTCCCTGTTGGCCTGGGGAAGCGGTAGATAAATGGCCAAGGCTTCGGAAACCCTGCACCTACATGGGAGACCCACAAGAAGCTCTTGGCTTCAGATTGGCTCAGTTCTGCCCATTTTGGCCACTTGGGGAGTGAACCAGCAGATGGCAGACCTTTCTGTCCTTTTCTTTATAAACCTGCCTAATTAAAACAAATCTTAAAAAATAAAAGAAAAACTTAAACCATTTCTAAAAGAATTCCACATTGAACCATTTCTAACCATGTTCTAAAATAGATCCAAATGTTTTGTACAATGCAACTAAAGTTTATTAGGGGAAGCTGAAGTTCCACATCCTATCAACAATTTAACCCACACAAGAACTCACTCACATATTCATGCTTTTGGAAACCGGACAGTGAGTGGGAGAGGCCACGAGATGCACAGAGCAACACAGTAAGAGCACCTACCTGTTCGTGCCAATTCTGACATCAACAACTGCAAGATCATTTTTAGCGAAAGCATCACTGATACCAGTCTTCAATTCAGGAGCAGATTTGTTAGAATTCAGGTTTCCAACAAACAAATTGAAAGATGTGGTTGGCTCTGTGCCTGTAAAAAACAAACCCATCAGTTCCTGAAAACATGGCCTCAGCAACTTCCAGCTTCAAAGGCTCCCCTGGGCAGCACATCAGCACATTGCGTGGATCAGCAGGTGTCAGTATTAAGTCCCTGTGTCACTCATCATTCGTGCTCTTGTAAGGCACATCCCTAGCACCCGCGTACCCCCACGTTACCTTCCACCTTCTGTTTCTTGGCTTCCGGAGCTGCTTTCTGCTTGCCCATCTCCTTCTTCCTCTTCCCAGGGGCTGCCTTGACAGGTTCTGCACGAGATGCACACCGTGAGGAGCAGCCGCACGCGAGGCTACTTCCACACAGACAGGAAAGCATTCCAGAATTCAATGAGATTACCTTCCTCCTCCTCCTCTTCCTCCTCGTCTTCATCTTCTTCTTCCTCATCTTCCTCATCCTCCTCCTCGTCGTCGTCATCCTCGTCATCTTCGTCGTCATCATCTTCCTCTTCGTCGTCATCCTCAGCCACGGTCTTGGCTTTCACAGGCACAGCTTTTGCAGGGGTCTTCTTTCCCTTTGCCGGGGTGACTTCCATAGCCTCTTCTTCTTCAGAGTCTGCAAGAGACACTTGCCGCTCCAGCAGCCAGCCCCTGCTTCACCAGCCCCACCCGGCAGGACCAGCAGAGCAGTGCCGCCCTGAATCGGCAGCCCTGAGACTTCCAGGATTCCAACCTAACCCCAGGCTGCTGGAAGCAAGAGGCGCTTCTCAGAACCTTACAAAAAATACTAAAAATTCCTTACCATCTTCCTCATCCTCCTCATCATCT